AAGGGGAAGGAGGGGTGGGATGAGGGAACAGCTGTGCATTAGCTTCATTGGTTGATACCATGACTGAAATGGGCCTGTTTCATTGTCATTTTGTTGTGCTTAGTGAATACTTTAGAAAATTCTAGACTGCAAAGAGCCTGGTTCATTCTCAACCACAAACTCCTCCTATGTGTCTTCTACTGGCGATGCTTTGAAATTTCAAAATCAGCTCCCAAAAATGTTATATACTGATCTGTCTCAGAGGCATGGCCCAAAGTAGTCTGTATCATTTGTAAAAGGTTTCCATACTAATTTGACAATTCTCCTCCCATCTTTTATATTTACATCTCTCCACACTCAGAACAATTGAAGCGTTTATACAAGAGCTAGCTAGGGGGAGAGAAAGGTACAGGATAAGAAACAAAGGGATCAGAATTTGGTAGTTAGGTCACTAAACTGAGAGGCAGCACCCGAAGTTCAATTAGTGGATCCATGACTGATCTACTTTAGGATCATGGGTAAGTCGGGTCACATCTTGGTGGTTCAGTTTTCCCTTCTGTAAAACAGGGCTAGTGATAGGTAGCTCTCCTTTGTCAAAGTGCTTTGAGATCCAGGGATTAAAAGGTGATGGATTTGATCCTAACAATTATCAAAAGAAGCAAGGAATGCATCTCTGGGTAATGAACTCAGTACGAAGTTTGGAACTGAATCTGACAGTTCCCACAGTTCAGGGTGTGAAGACAGTTAGCCCTGTTAGATATTTATAAAATAGTATCTGTCCCATATGCAGACAGACTGATGAAAAGACCACAGTCCTAAAGAATCGTAGCAGATCTTGCAGTATTCAGTCTAGTTTAAAGCACGAAACCGAAAAGAATTAATAGTAAACAAGACTTCTGTTCTTCTAGGTCCTCCAGCTCCACCTCAAGATATTACCATAGATGCTGGGTCCACACCAGCTACTATACAGGTGTCCTGGAAACCACCCACTCTTACATCCACAGGGACCTCTAATGGAGCAAATGTTACTGGCTATGGTGTTTATGCAAAGGGTCAAATAGTAAGTAAGCTTTCTTTTGCTTGTTGCATCGATCACAGCTACAGATGTGCAGTTAGATTAACAGGTAAAGGCAGCAAGTCAAGGTTTGCAGAGTTGATCTGCGTTTCACTGCAGCTATTTTGTTACTTCATTGTTTGCCTAGTTTGTAAGTGGGCTATGGAGTCCCTCTAGTTTATGTAAACTCATCAAGAAGTAGTAACTGTTCAGGCAAGCTTAGCTAAAGTGTTACAGCTGATTGGGGCAAATTATCATTATTATTATATTGCAGCCTTTTTTACCATGAGCAACACTTTGCAAAAACATATGAATCCTTTTAAAGTGGCAATGGGAGGAAAAGATTTTTTTACACTTTTAATGGCTTGTTTGTGTGTTCAGGTGGCAGAGGCGATGTTTCCAACAGCAGAGAATACTTTAGTGGAGCTAATGAGAATACGAAATGTAGAAGCTAAGGAAGTTACCGTGAGAACACTTTCTGCACAAGGGGAATCTGTGGACTCTTCTGTTGCTGCCATTCCACCTGATCTACTGGTGCCTCCAATCCCTCACCTTAGGACTGCTCCCAAATCTAAGCCATTAGCAAGTGCCGGGGCCCCAGATACCAAAGATGAACATTTAGGTCCGCATTTAAAAATGGATGAGTCATGGGAGCAGACTCGTTCAGCATCCCCAATTCCTGGACACACGTTGGAGCCTCCTGCCCCCAACTTTCACAGCCCACTTCATGGAAGGAGATCTCCCTCGCCTAATCGAATTCTCCCACAGCCACAAGGCACCCCCGTCACAAATACTGTTGCAAAAGCAATGGCGAGAGAAGCTGCCCAGCGGGTTGCAGAGAACAACAGGGTAAGACAAACTCTTTCTTACTCACATAGTGACTTAGTTGCAAATCGTTTAGGGAGGAAAAGGGAGGTTTAAAAAGTAGGTTATGTTCTGTATTAGGGTTCCATTTATAAATACTTTATAAAGAATTAATAATTGATTAATAAAAAGTTAATTGATTGTTACAGAGACCTTATAGGGCAGTAGGTTATTTATAACTACATCTTACAACTATAACACTTTCTACTGGTGGGCTTACAACACCAAGAACATCACATCTGTACACAGAATCTTATGTGAATGAAATCTATGAAATGTAAAGCTTACTTAATTGATTAAACCTTTTATAAACCAGTTATAAATTCAACAGTAATATAAACCATGAACAGAATCAATCCATGATGTCTGAAGGTATACTCTTACCATAATACTCAGAGATACTGTAACATGCTATCCTTTGATTGCTTTTCGATTAACCCACAGATGATTAGAAATGGAAATATATTTTTTAAAAATTGGACATATTTTTGGCCAGTTAGGTTAAACATTTGGATGGCTCTCCATACAATGTCACTTGGGCTCCTTTCAGTTAAAACAAACAACAAAATATTAAGCCTCCAGAGCCAGCTGGTCTGTAACGAGAAAAATGCCAACAAAATGACCAACAAAAAGCTGTTTTCTGCTAAGCCCTTGAAGGTCACTAATGCTGAGCTCTGGCCTCACATATCAGACAGCAGGTTGCAAAGGTGTAGGGCCTTCATTCACAGAAATAACTGGGTTGGCTACAGTCTGAGTCAGTTTGCTGTGGACCTGAGTCTGACTGCAAATTAGTCCCAGAGAGTTAAGGCCCTGGAACAGACATCAAGAGAAGTCTGGTTGAATGCAGCTTCTAAGAGGGAGGGTAGTGAGAGGCGATATCTACCATCCCTTGTTACATCCCTACAACTGTAAATATCACACATGTAGGGCTTGTTACATCATCACTGACATATCAGACAATGCCAGATGTGAATAGGTAGTGCAGAACACTTTGTTCCTGTGAGTGCAAAGGGATGATGATTCATTTCATTAGAAACCAGCTGAAGAGCTGTAATGCCAAAGGCTAGCAGATTTCTTTCACTAACCTATCTCATCTGCTTGTTACTTCTGTGGGCAGAATTTGGCTTTTGTGTAACAGCATATCTGAAGTAAACATCTACCCTCCACATAAAGGGCTGAATCAACATGCACATCTCAAAGACTGATAACAAGCATACCCTTGTAGAGTGAGATAGGACAGGTATCCTTTAGCTGTTGCTTTCACCTTGCCCTTAAATTAATTTTCCTGGCAGTGTTAGGGCAATGCCCAGTACAGATGAACTAGACAGTCTCAAAAATAAATCCACCAAAAACGTCCCTAAAAACATTTGATTGTTTCCTATTTTGTACATGGGGCTTTAAAAGACTACAGCTTTTAAAAAGTCAGGTGATACTCAGAGTTATATAGTTTACTATTAATAACCTTGCTTGAAATTCCCTGTGACCTAATTAAATTATTAGCACATGGGTGTGATACGTCAAGGCATAACTGTGCTTGACTATCATGCTGTGCTTTATTTACACACGACAGTCCCATCCAAATTCCCCAGGGAACAATGTCAGAAATAGTGGAGGTGTATGGAGTGCTAGTGTATAGTGGCTTTGTCTTGATGAATAGTTAAAGTGATACAGTGCTGGAAGGTCTTTGGAGCAATCTATGCCCACAAATGCTTTAGGTAATGAAATGAGTTTCCTTATTAAAGCAATAATTAACAGCAGGGAGTGAGTAAAGTGAATATATAAAGTTCAGGGGAAAGAGGTTTAATTTTTTTTATGACATCATGAAAGCTATGGACAGGCAGGGTGTGTTTACATAGTACCCTAAACTTGAAATACGATTGTGTATCTTATTTCAAATGTATTTCAAAATAGCTTAGCTGAAATTTTGAAATGTCTACACAGTGCCAAATTTTGAAATATCACGCTATTTTGACATATCCCTTAAGCCTCGTGGAACGAGGGTTACAGGGATGCCAAAATAGCAAGCCCATTCTTTCGAAAAATATTTTGATATAACAGGTACATTTAAAAGATGTGGGGTACCTATTTCCAGATGTACCCTCAGTGATAAAGAGAGATTTCACCTAGAGGCTGTTCCACAAAGCAGAGCTGCAAAGGAGAAGTATGGGATTGGGAAGAGACAGGTTCCCTGAAGTGGGATGGATTAAGTATTATAAGCTCCAATCCTGCAAAGCACTGAAATGTATGCTTACATCCATCTCTTACAGAAGAGCATTTCAAAGAAGACAAAAGATGAAACTGTGCCCATAAAAGAAAAGTTGAGCATGTGCTTAATTTTCAGATTTTTAGGCACCTCAGGTACCTGAATATCTTGAAAATTTGGACTTCAGTGCTTTCCCTAAAGGGAGCCCTAACAACTAGGAGGGCAGTTGAAGATTGCATACTGAAATAGGTGACCAAACTAAGATTCTGCTTTTGCAAGTATTTTTGCATGGGCATAGCTTAGCCCATGAGAACACAATCCTATTGACCTTAGTGGAGCTCTTCAGGTCCATAAAAGCACTTGCCTGAAAGATTGAGGTGTAAGTCAAGTTAGCCCATTGATTCATATAACATGGAATATTTTGATTTCTCTTATTTAACCAGCTATATACAATACTGAAAAAACCTGTTCATGGTATTTATTCCCTAGATAAAAGACACCTTTGAATGTTACAAAATGAATGCAACATGAGAAAAGCCACCTAGACCAATATACATTGATTAGCATCCTCTTCCTTGGTTTATCAAAACAAAGTGCACAAGCCTTACCTAATGGGACAGCTCATCTCAGCTCATGAGAATGAGATTCTAGTCTAAATTTAAATTCTCAAGAGGGTGGGAAGGAAAATAAAAACACCAAACCCAATTATATAGGGACAAGCAAGTTGGGAGACCAATTACAGTCCAGCTGGTCTTCTAAAAGGCAAATGACACATTGGAAAAAAGGGTCTGATAACCTGGGCACAAAAACATGTATTAAGGGAGCACAAGAGAACATATTTTGGAAGGCTACTGGAATTAGTGTAGAAGAGTTGGAGCAATGGTGATCAGCGAGAGAATGACATCAGTTTTAGGGAAAGGGACTGAGAGTTTTTGCAAAATCACTTGACATACAAAATCATGTATAGGCTAGTATTTAGTAGATCTTAAAAGGTTGGGTGCAGGGAACTGGACAGAAGTTCAGTGCTACATTCACTCTGAGGTAAACCAGGTTCTGCCAGCAATACCTATGGTACATAGTCTCCAGTAAGGGAAAGTCTCCTATCTATTAGGCGGCAATGGTGTAAGTCACTGGTGCCGCCATGTACATCTACTCAGAGGGTTGGATGGTGTGGAATAAGGAGGCTTGTGGTCAATAGGTTCTAGTGATTAATAGTGAATTTTACTCTTGTTGTAGAAGGTCAGCACAATGCTTGCATCTTCATAAGAACATTTAAGTGAAGTGCACAAACATTGTGCCTAGAGCTGACTTTCACTATCTGTGCATTGCCTAGGCAATTTTGACCAATGGGACTCCTGTGGGATCCCCAGAAACAGATTAAGGAAAGAATTTAATGGAAATTAGAAGAAACCCCTTCTGGCCTGCTCAACAATGAGTATTCTGTGGATGCAAATTTCTGCACTTTTTAGTAAAGTGGCACATGGAAAAGGAGATACAGGGACCCCCGCGGCTGCGGCTTCAGTCCAGGAGCCTGTGGTCTGCTGGGGACGGTCCCCAGCAGACCACAGGCACCCAGATTGAAGCGGCAGCGACCGGGGGGGGGCCCCG